GTCACAAAGTGTACACACATGTCGTTTGTTATTTTTGCTCAAAAAAAAAAATTAGTCCTACATGTTGGTGCCTCTGCATTGGTATATACGTGGACAATATTATACAAGTGAATCATTGTACATGATAATAAAATTTGTGTGTACACATGAACATTATATGGTTGTGCACATTTTGAAATTAGCAAAATTATCCAATTAGTTAGTGTGATATTATGGTAATGTGTACATATATGTCTGCTATCTCACTTTACTTATGTTGGTCTATTGTCGATATACATGTGTACATATTACAAAGTGTACACAAAATAACTTGTCTACTTATCTTACTTCTAATTTTTTCAAGTTTTTACATGTGTACACGACATAAAGTGCACACACATCTCGTTTGTTATTCTTGCTCAAAAAAAAATTGGTCTTACATGTTGGTGTTTATGCATTGGTATATACGTGGACAATATTATACAAGTGAATCATTATACATGATAATAAAAATGTTGTGTACACATGGACATTATATGGTTGTACTTTGAAACTAGCAAAATTATCCAATTAGATAGTGTGATAATATGGTAATGTGTACACATATTATGATAATATGTACACTTATTTATTACGAAATTTTTTTGACAAGCATCAAATGTCAAAGTTGACCATTGTTGTTATCAAGCTTCTCATAAGTGGTGAATGTAATAATAAAAATCACGACAGTGACACCGGTTTTGAAGCAAGAGCAGAGTAAGGAGACGCGAGAAAATGTAGACGTCATCGTTGAAGCTTTAAACGATCACATTGTTAACGTCATATACATCACGATTATATAATCTTCATAAATATATCTTGACATATTTAAAAGATAGATTAAATAATGAAGATACTAATTAAATACATGTTTTTAGAAAAAAATATTTCTAGAACTATATAATTCATTTACAGAAAAAGGTAAAAAAACTCAAAAAAAAATGAAAAAGAAAAATATATGGGACCCACTTTACTTGTCTTGTTTATTAGGAAGAGTAATAAGTAACTGAATAGTTAGAAAATAGAACTAGAAGAAGAAAATGTTAGGATAAAGTACCTTAGTAGAAGAAAGTGTCTTTTCTTGATATTAAAAACACAAAACTGCCTTTGAGTGATATATTTTCGCATAATAATAGGCAAAGTACGTTTTTTTTTTTGAAACACTGGTAAAGTACGTTTCGAAATAATGTTTTTAATATTTGGATATCTATACTATTAAAGCTCAAGTACAAAAAATTAGTGTTTGGAAACATGAATATGTATTTAAAATTATAATGATTGGAAACAAGGATAGCCTACAAATCTAATGGGCTTATTTATTAAACTAAAGATTACTGCGGCCCAAAGTATCATAATTATTGTTTTTGGGTTTCTATCATTGATATTATTTTATTTCTGAAAATTATCTATACATATATGTATTCATGTTTTAAATATATTTAAAATAAATCAAGAATAATATATATTTTATTTATATAATTTATATTGACTATTGTTATAAATTTTTAACAGTGATATACTAGCCTTTCAATTCTTCATTAAAAATTAACTTAAAATTTGAATAAATTGTTTAATGTATATAGTTTTGTACTAAATTTAGAAAAAAAAAATTTATAAACTATTAATAAAATATTTACGGGTCACAATATTTTGCGACGCCCCTGTTACACAATATAGTGATGAAATACAATGTTTAAATAATGTACTATTACTTAGTCAAATTGGAATCATTAGATTGTAATTTTTGAAATGTTTATATATACTATAAAAACAAATACCCGCACAGTCGGGCGGATTATGATCTAGTATATTATTAAAAGAGAAGTACAAAATAGAAATAAACTTTAATTTTATCAGTTGTCTACAGATGCCACTGAGATATTTACTCAACATATATTAAAGTATATTTATCAGCTTGTCTTTTACTACTTTAAATCATATATTTAAGTATTTAATATCTTTTTATAATTTAAATAATATATTTCTTTAGTTAAATTTTAACCAAAATGATTTTTCTAATATATTTGATATTAGCATATTAAATATTTTAATATTTATTAGTAATAACTAATATGTTATTTTTCTTTAAAAATTTTATTAATAGAAGTTAATGTTCTAAATATATTTCTATATTTTATGTATTTATACAAAAAAAAATTTTTTTAAGGGATATTAAATTTTGGAATTGAAAAAAATTATAGTCCATCACTATATTATTTTAATTAAAAATTTTAAAATTTATATAAAATATTTTAGTAATTTTTAAAATTTATTTATTATAACTGTAAAAAAACTTTAATCTAAATTTATGTCTAATTATTTTAAATATATCATTTAATAGAAAAATATAAAATAAATATCTGTCCAGTCGGCCGGATCAACATCTAGTTACACTACAAGAAAACACGTCTTTTACTAGGACGGGTTTTCCTCGTTATTTCCTAGTAAAGGGCCCTTTACTAGGAAATAGCGAGGAAACGTGTTTCGTCGAAAGACGTTCATCGTAAAGGCTATTTTCCTCGTAAAGGCCTAGCTAATTTACGAGGAAAGTTTTCCTCGTAAAGCCGTGGAAAACATTTCCTCGTAAGCTCCACGTACACTTTCCTCGTA